ATATTTTTTCAAGGCCTACCCAAGGCGTGGATTTATTAAAGAATATTTTTTCAAGGCCTACCCAAGGCGTGGATTTATTAAAGAATATTTTTTCAAGGCCTACCCAAGGCGTGGATTTATTAAAGAATATTTTTTCAAGGCCTACCCAAGGCGTGGATTTATTAAAGAATATTTTTTCAAGGCCTACCCAAGGCGTGGATTTATTAAAGAATATTTTTTCAAGGCCTACCCAAGGCGTGGATTTATTAAAGAATATTTTTTCAAGGCCTACCCAAGGCGTGGATTTATTAAAGAATATTTTTTCAAGGCCTACCCAAGGCGTGGATTTATTAAAGAATATTTTTTCAAGGCCTACCCAGGCGTGGATTTATTAAAGAATATTTTTTCAAGGCCTACCCAAGGCGTGGATTTATTTTTTTAAAGAATATTTTTTCAAGGCCTACCCAAGGCGTGGATTTATTAAAGAATATTTTTTCAAGGCCTACCCAAGGCGTGGATTTATTAAAGAATATTTTTTCAAGGCCTACCCCAGGCGTGAATTTATTAAAGAATATTTTTTCAAGGCCTATCCCAGGCGTGGATTTATTAAAGAATATTTTTTCAAGGCCTACCCAAGGCGTGGATTTATTAAATAATATTTTTAAAGGGCCAACTGAGGCTTGGATTTATTAAAGAATATTTTTCAAGGGCCAACTGAGGCGTGGATTTATTAAAGAATATTTTTCAAGGGCCTTCCCAAGGCGTGGATTTATTAAAGAATATTTTTTCAAGGATCCCAAGGCGTGGATTTATTAAAGAATATTTTTTCAAGGCCTACCCAAGGCGTGGATTTATTAAAGAATTTTTTTTCAAGGCCTACCCAAGGCGTGGATTTATTAAAGAATATTTTTTCAAGGCCTACCCAAGGCGTGGATTTATTAAAGAATTTTTTCTAGGCCTACCCAAGGCGTGGATTTATTAAAGAATTTTTTTTCAAGGGCCAACTGAGGCGTGGATTTATTAAAGAATTTTTTTTCAAGGGCCAACTGAGGCGTGGATTTATTAAATAATATTTTTCAAGGGCCAACTGAGGCGTGGATTTATTAAAGAATTTTTTTTCAAGGCCTACCCAAGGCGTGGATTTATTAAAGAATATTTTTTCAAGGCCTACCCAAGGCGTGGATTTATTAAAGAATATTTTTTCAAGGCCTACCCAAGGCGTGGATTTATTAAAGAATTTTTTTTCAAGGCCTACCCAAGGCGTGGATTTATTAAAGAATATTTTTTCAAGGCCTACCCAAGGCGTGGATTTATTAAAGAATATTTTTTCAAGGCCTACCCAAGGCGTGGATTTATTAAAGAATATTTTTTCAAGGCCTACCCAAGGCGTGGATTTATTAAAGAATATTTTTTCAAGGCCTACCCCAAGCGTGGATTTATTAAAGAATATTTTTTCAAGGCCTACCCAAGGCGTGGATTTATTAAAGAATATTTTTTCAAGGCCTACCCAAGGCGTGGATTTATTAAAGAATATTTTTTCAAGGCCTACCCAAGGCGTGGATTTATTAAAGAATATTTTTTCAAGGCCTACCCAAGGCGTGGATTTATTAAAGAATATTTTTTCAAGGCCTACCCAAGGCGTGGATTTATTAAAGAACTAGCATCGCTACTTCGTCAGCGAATGTGGGAAGTATTTAAAACCCAATACCAACCAATATTAACACTTTTAAAACCGTTTGGTACCAATGTTCTCTTATAGTACTCAACCCTACACACAAATTCTGACCGCAAAATAAATCAAGCACTATACAAAATTTTGTGTCATTTAGTTAAATTTCCAAATTTCAAATATAGCTTCACCCAAATCCAAATTAAGTACCAGTTAGTAAACATAAATATATAAATTGTCATAACTTCCTACATTAACATACGAATTTCCAACACTTCCCACATACCCCAATCTTAATTTCAAATTTCAGGATTCTATCGGTTCGCCTAAATCCAATTTTTTCAAATTTAGTGCCATTTAATACACATAGGTACAAATTTGCATTACTACCTACATCATGCAATCCAATGAAAACCTTATTACTCAATTTCAAGATTTCAGCTCTATCGGTTAACTTTTAATCCAAACTGTGCCAAATCTAGTGCCATTTAGTACACATTTCCAAAACATCCTACATACCCCATTCGAACCCCCCAACAGTGATCCTAACCACCATTTGGTACCATTTAGTAAACATTATTACGAATGTCCAAAACTTTCTACATAGCTCAATACTACACCCCGACAGTGATCCTAACTTCAAATTTCAAGATTCTAGCTCTGTCGGTTTACTCAAATCCACATTTGGTACTATTTTGAAACTGTAACCCTAACTCCAAATTTCAGGATTCCAGCTGTATTGGTGCACCAAAAATTTAAATTGTACAAAATTTAGTACACATTTGTACGAATTTTTAAAACTTCCTACATACCCCAATCCTACACCCCCACAATGATCCTAAATCCAAGTTTCAAGATACCAATTCTATCGGTTCGCCCACAATTCAAACTGTATAAAATTTAGTACAAAGTAATACAAAAGTTCAACACTTCCTACATACCCCGGTCCTACACCCCAACAGTGATGCTAAATCCATGTTTTAGGATTCAAACTCTATCAGTTCACTCACAATTCAAATTGTACCAAATTTAGTACACAGTAGTACTAATTCCCAAACTTCTTGCATACCCCAATCCTACCCCCCACACTGATCCTAAATACAAGTTTCAGGATTCCAACTCTATCGGTTCACCCACTATTTAAATTGTACCAAATTTAGTACACATTAGTACAACTTTTTAAAGCTCCCTACATATCTCAATCTTAAACCTCAACAATGATCCTGACTCCAAATTTCATGATTCTAGCTCAATTGGTTCACCTAAAATTCAAATTGTACCAAATTTAGTACCATTTAGTACGAATTTCCACAACTTCCTACTTAACTCAAACCAACACCCCCACAGTGATCCTAAATCCAAGTTTCAGGATTCCAATTCCATCGGTTCACCCACAATTAAAATTGTACCAAATTTAGTACACATTAGTACAAATTCTTAAAACTCCCTACATATCTCAATCTTAAACCTCAACTATGATCCTGACTCCAAATTTCATGATTCTAGCTCAATTGGTTCACCTAAAATTCAAATTGTACCAAATTTAGTACCATTTAGTACGAATTTCAAAAACTTCCAACTTAACCCAAACCAACACCCCCACAGTACTTCAAAATCTAAATTTCAGGATTCCAACTCTATCGGTTCAACCACAATTCAAATTGTACCAAATTTAGTACACAGTGGTACGAATTTCCAAAACTTCCTACTTAACTCAAACCAACACCCCCACAGTGACCCTAAATTCAAGTTTCAGGATTCCAATTCTATCGGTTCACCCACAAATTAAATTGTACCAAATTTAGTACACATTAGTATAAATTTTTAGAACTCCCTACATATCTCAATCTTACACCTCAACAATGATCCTAACTCCAAATTTCATGATTCTAGCTCTATTGGTTCACCCATAATTCAAATTGTACCAAATTTAGTACCATTTAGTACCCATAAGTAATAATGTCTTAAACTGAGTCCTGACCCCAATCCTACACCCCTACAGTGATCCTGACTCCAAATTTTATTGTTTCCGCTCTATCGGTTCACCCAAATCCAAATTGTACCAATTATAGTACGATTTAGTACTTTTCGTACACATAAGTAGCAAATTTCCAAAACTACGTACATATCACAATCCTATACTCCGACGGTAATGTTACTTTCAATTTTCAGTATTCTAGCTCCATTTGTACCTCCAAATCAAATTTGTACCAAATATAGTACCATATAGTACTATTCGTACACATGAGTACACGGTTTCAAAACCATCTCCTTATATCGACCCTACTTCCCAACCCTAATTCGCATTCCAAATTTCAAGCTTTTAGCTCTATCCGTTCTCATGCTACAGAATTGTACAAAATTTAGTACATTTTCGTACATTTCGGATAGTTGTAGTTCGAATTTCCAAAAACCCTTTGGTACATCTATCCTACACTCCATCAGTGACCCTCAATCCAAATTTCAGAGTTCTAGCTCTACTGGTTCGCCAAATACAAATGATATTATATTTAGTACTTTTTAGTACTTTTCGTACCCTTCTAGTACGAATATCCAAAAACCCAGCCTTATCTGTCACATTTGGGCCAAGAGTGACCCTCACCCAAAATTTCAAGATTCTAGCTTCAGCCGTTTCGTCTGGGCGTTGATGAATCGTTAAATCAGTCAGTCAATCAGTCAGTCAGTCAATCACTTTACTCTTTTATTAGTATAGATATTTTTTCAAGGCCTACCCAAGGCGTGGATTTATTAAAGAATATTTTTTCAAGGCCTACCCAAGGCGTGGATTTATTAAAGAATATTTTTTCAAGGCCTATCCCAGGCGTGAATTTATTAAAGAATATTTTTTCAAGGCCTACCCAAGGCGTGGATTTATTAAAGAATATTTTTGCAGGGCCTTCCCAAGGCGTGGATTTAGTGAAGAATATTTTTCCAAGGCCTACCCAAGGCGTGGATTTATTAAAGAATTTTTTTTCAAGGCCTACCCAAGGCGTGGATTTATTAAAGAATATTTTTTCAAGGCCTACCCAAGGCGTGGATTTATTAAAGAATATTTTTTCAAGGCCTGTCCCAGTCGTGGATTTATTAAAGAATATTTTTTCAAGGCCTATCCCAGGCGTGGATTTATTAAAGAATATTTTTTCAAGGCCTATCCCAGGCGTGGATTTATTAAAGAATATTTTTTCAAGGCCTATCCCAGGCGTGGATTTATTAAAGAATATTTTTTCAAGGCCTATCCCAGGCGTGGATATATTAAAGAATATTTTTGCCAAGGCCTATCCCAGGCGTGGATTTATTAAAGAATATTTTTTCACAAAATTTAATTAAATTAAATTTATTTTCTATTTTCCAGGTTATGAATGGGTTGGCTGGCGCAATGATACCCCAAATCTCCAGGGCCGTCCCGTGGAGATCACATTTGAATTTGATGGGGTGCGAAATTTCAGTGCTGTCATCATACACACAAACAACATGTATATTAAAGATGTTCAAGTAAGTATTGAAAATTCTCCATCCCCTTTAAAATTTATTACTTAAATCTAAAGTGTATCCAAGTAGTTTTTTCTTCGGGTCATAATTCATTGAAAATGTTTTTTGTTAAATGGACACAAATCGAATTGTCATAATTTTGTGTAGATTTGACTATCATAACTCATTTTAATGATTAAAACAAAGAGGGGTTATTTAGTTTTTTTTATCACAAAACGATTTAAGTCATTTATCATAAATAATAATGTTATTATGTCTCCCCTCCCCCTCCAAAAATGAAAACTCATCAACCTCCAAAAATTATGGTTGCTTGTTTGTTTTGTTGTAATTTATGGTGACACAAAAAGATAAGTTTGTGTGCGTTGCTTAAAGGGTTGGGGGAACTATTTTTGAAAACCCTTTCAATTATAGTTCCACCAAGTGGCATGCCAAGTGGAAAAGCGTTAAAACATTTATGGTAATGATAACAGTCAAATGGTTTTTCCTATAAGTGGAAGATAAGTGTTGGTAAAGAGAGGGAGGAGGGGTAGAATCAGATAAATTGTTCAAATATTAGCTTTTGTTTTGTTTTTTTTTTTTTTGGGAATCGAACATTGGTCGTTCATCGATGATTAATTTGTTTTAAATTTGACACACTTCTTCAGCACACAGGGTAATCATAAACCGTTTCCCTTCCTGGGGTGGGGTGGGAGTGGTAGTACGGAACAACCAACGAGTGTTAATCGAATTATTACTCTTGGGGGGTAACAAAAAATAAAACATTGTAACGAAACGATTTATGACGAGCGGTCACTTTGAAATTGTTGCGGAATGATTTATTTATAGGATCATAAATAATATTATCGGAGAAAACTTCTACGGTCTGCAATAAATATTTTTTCAAGAGCCTACACGGGCAGAGGATTTTTTAAAAAAACTTTTTCTCCACCCTAAAATAGGCTTGGATTTTTAAAATAATTTCTTCTTGAGCCTAAAGGAGGCGTGGATCTATATAAGGCGTGCATTTATTAAATATTTTTTTCTCGAGTCTATATAAGGCGTGGATTTTTAAATAATTTTTTTCTCGAGTCTATATAAGGCGTGGATTTTTAAATAATTTTTTTCTCGAGTCTATATAAGGCGTGGATTTTTAAATAATTTTTTTCTCGAGTCTATATAAGGCGTGGATTTTTAAATAATTTTTTTCTCGAGTCTATATAAGGCGTGGATTTTTAAATAATTTTTTTCTCGAGTCTATATAAGGCGTGGATTTTTAAATAATTTTTTTCTCGAGTCTATATAAGGCGTGGATTTTTAAATAATTTTTTTCTCGAGTCTATATAAGGCGTGGATTTTTAAATAATTTTTTTCTCGAGTCTATATAAGGCGTGGATTTTTAAATAATTTTTTTCTCGAGTCTATATAAGGCGTGGATTTTTAAATAATTTTTTTCTCGAGTCTATATAAGGCGAGGATTTTTAAATAATTTTTTTCTCGAGTCTATATAAGGCGTGGATTTTTAAATAATTTTTTTCTCGAGTCTATATACGGCGTGTATTTTTAAATAATTTTTTTCTCGAGTCTATATAAGGCGTGGATTTTTAAATAATTTTTTTCTCGAGTCTATATAAGGCGTGGATTTTTAAATAATTTTTTCTCGAGTCTATATAAGGCATGGATTTTTAAATAATTTTTTTCTCGAGTCTATATAAGGCGTGGATTTTTAAATAATTTTTTTCTCGAGTCTATATAAGGCGTGTATTTTTAAATAATTTTTTTCTCGAGTCTATATAAGGCGTGGATTTTTAAATAATTTTTTTCTCGAGTCTATATAAGGCGTGGATTTTTAAATAATTTTTTTCTCGAGTCTATATAAGGTGTGGATTTTTAAATAGTTTTTTCAAGCCACTATAAGAGGCCTGTGTTTTTGTATTGAATTTGTTTACCAAGTTTTAGTCATGTGGAGAATGGTCATTGGCTGTTGTGGTCTAAACGTTCCTCCTTGGAGATATTGAAATTTGAAATCAATATTTCAATAATGAAAATCAACACCAAAAACTCGCATTACATACCACCCAATATTCATTTTATCGTTTTGTTTAAACACAAATACAATATTAAAAGATTAGCCAAATGTAAACAAATATGAAATTAATAAATGTTCAAAAAAGTATTGTTTATTTTAAGATATTGAAAATAAACACGATTTTATGGCAAACTAATAAAAACAACAAATGGTGTTGCATTCAACATAGAATTCGGGAGGTCTACACCACAGAGAGTGGCTGCCCGCTGATATTTCACCCAGTTTTTGGTTGTTGTTTTTACATCACAGATTACACCTGAACACAAAAACACAGATAAAGGGGCCGGTATGCAGCTGTCCCAAATTAGCCACAAAATATTGTTTCTATTTTTTAATTTTCAACCGGACTCGATATCATAAAAAATCAACATCAGAACCAATAACCACAACAACTTTGTTTATGGCTAACAAATTGAAACTGTCATGTCACGCGAAGAGGTGTAACTAGTCCCAGAAACAACACCGATCGATGGGCAATAAAAAATTGACATTTCCAAGTGTTTATTTGACAGTTTAATAACTTTTTTGTTACAAATTCATTTCAATTTTTTTATTGTTGTTTTTGATCTTTTATGAGCGATAATGTAAAAAAGTGAAATGTAATAATGTGATCGGGTGATAGTGGGGCCTGTGATAAGGGACGGACAAAAACTATCTCAGGTGTGTTGACTGATTAGTGAAAGTTTTGTGGATGGAGGGAGAACATTAAAGAAACATTTGTTGATGGTTTTGGTTTTTTTTCGAATAAAAGAGGTGTTAAAAATAAATAGATACGGTAATGATCTATCGGTTTATTTACACAATAAATGTTTATTTTTTACGAGTTACAAATTCAAATATTTGTAGTTTAACACCAGGTCAGAAAAAACCCATAAAAAAGTATTTGATACCCATCGCCGCTTTGGGTATATTTTACATATGTCTCCTAATAGACGTTACGAAACTTAGCACAAATCAGTTTAGACCCAATTCAGTACGCTATGCCACATTTCGTGCAGATCGAAAGATATATCGGGACTTTGGAACACCATTTAGAAAAAAAAAATCGGAACAAAATACATATGGAAGCCATATCTAAATCTGAACCGATTTTCAAGAAACTTAACAATTCGGAACCGATTCTAATTCGTTCTAATTCGGAACCGATTTTCACGAAATTTAGCACATATCATTCTAGGCTTAATTCAGTACGTTGTGCCAAATTTCGTGCAAATTTCGTGGTGTACCATTTACATAACATCGGACGAAAATATATATGGGAGGTATATCTATATCTGAACCGATTTTTACGAAATTAAATACACATCGTTCTATACTTAATTCAGTACGCTGTGCCAAATTTCGGGCAAATCGAAGGATATATAGGTACTATGGTACGCCATTTACATAAAATCGGACGAAAATATGTATGGGAGCTATATCTAAATCAGAACCGATTTTTACGAAATTTAACACACATCGTTCTAGACTTAATTCAGTACGCTATGCCAAATTTCGTGCAAATCGAAAGATATATAGGGACTTTGGTACACCATTTATATTAAATTCGAACGGAAATATATATGGGAGCTATATCTAAATCTGAACCGATTTTCACGAAACTTAACACACATCGTTCTAGGGTTTATTCAGTACGCTATGCCAAATTTCGTGCAAATCGAAGGATATATAGGGACTTTGGTATACCATTTACATTAAATCGGTCGAACATATATATGGGAGATATATTTAAATCTGAACCGATTTTCAAAAAAAAAAAAAAAAATACACACATAATTCTAGTCTCAATTCAGTTCGCTATGCCAAATTTGGTGCAAATCGAAGGATATATAAGGACTTGGGTGCACCAAAGTCGGACGAAAATGTATATGGGAGCTATATCTAAATCTGGACCGATTTTCAGGAAACTTAGCCCACATCGTTCTAGGGTTTATTCAGTACGCTATGCCAAATTTCGTCAAGAATTTAACGATACATTTAATCGGACGAAAATATATTTGGGTGCTATATCTAAATCTGAACTGATTTAGAAAAAATATTTCAAAAAAAATCCAACCCTGCTATATGTTTTAAAACCCACACTGCTTTGTGAGCCTAGAAAAAAAATGTTTCTTTTTTTAATAAATCCACGCCTCGTTGGGAGCCTTGAAAAAATATTTTTTTTTTTTTTTCAATAAATCCACACCTCGTTGGGAGCCTTGAAAAGATATTTTTATTAAATCCACGCCTTTTTGGGAGACTAGAAAAAATCCACGTCTCTGTTGAAGAAAAAATGTTAAAAAATGCGCCTATGTGGAGCCTAGAACTATAGACAGTTGCGGGTCTATATTCTGTACCTGGGCAATATTCCGCGATATTTGCACCCTATTGACCGATTGGAGATCAACAGCTACTCTTCTTTATACCAGCATATTTTTTAGGAATATTTTTTCCCTGGGTGAAAATTTTTTGTCATATAATGCAAAGAGCGGTCTTTGTTGATTTGACCGATCAAAACAGCCATTCTAATTTGTTGACCAGATTACCTTCCCCATGTGATATGTTGGCACATCCGGCGTATTATTGTGACCTCTAGAGCGGCAAACATTATGTTTTTTTATCCATTTAATCACCTAAATATCAGTTGATCATATCCGAAAATAATAGACGTCATCCTTCGTGCAAAATTTCAATTCGATTAGAGCAAAATAAATACCCACATTTGGCGTGTTATTGTGGCCTCTAGAGCGACAAACATTAAGTTTTTTAGGTCCATTTAATCCCCTAAATATCAGCTGATCCGATAATAATAGACGCGTCGTCCTTGACCATAACCTAAACTTCGTGTAAAATTTCAATTCCATTAGTGCAGAATACATACCCTCTTGTGTGGTAATGATAATCAAAATAGGTCGATCTCTGTGAATATTTAGATATAACTCCAACGCCCGAGTACATA